GGGAGTTCTGGAGATAAATAATGGAAGATGTTAATTTATTAAGTTAGAATAAGAGTCACAGCCTTAAAAATGGGTACTTCCTAACAACGTATATACTTCACAACAGTTTGACAGTTTTGCCGATGTGTTAAAATACTCTCAGGCTTTTTGTACAAAGGACCTTGATAGAGATAACCCCTTACAGCTTGTGTGAGTCTTATAAAACAGAAACTAAGATTAAAAAAATGAATTAATAATGAATAATTGGTCTCTTGAGTATGAAGATACTGTCTGTTTTTAAAGGACATTTGTGTGTGCCAAAATTGACCTTTTCCTGAGCAAAAAGTACATATCTCTCTGTCTCTAAAGAAGAAATAATTGCCAAAGTTATTTGTGTCACAATAATTTATTAATCTGGAAGGATGAAGACACTGCCCAGAGGTCATGTATGACCCAGTAATGAGACCATCAAGCATCGCTGTAAATAATTAAACCAAGACACATTACTTGGAAACCCTTCCCCCCCCCCCCCCTCAAGCACATTGAAGTTCCTTCGTTTTATAAATAACTTCTATTGCGTGTAGATCACCTTCAGTAGGTCTAATCCTTCTCCTAGAGTCACAATCTTTGCAATGTTTGAGCATCATCAAGATAAAAAATCTTCTCCTTATTTTTAAGCACCTTTTGCTTTATTTCAGTTTGTGCCCATTCCCTTTTGTCTTGTTTTTGGGCAGCACGAAGACCTGTCTCTGTTGTCCTCTCCTTTCCATTGGGTTCTCAGGCACATGGGTGTAATTACGCTGGGTCTTGTCTTCTTGAGGCTTCCTGTGTCTCCTTGGCTGACAGGTCCTTCATAGAATCATTAAGGTTGGAAAAGACCTCTAAGATCTCCAAGTCCAACCCCAACCCATCCCCATCATGCTTACTGACCATGTCCCTCAAAGCTGCCATGTCTCCACATTCCTTAGACCACCTCCACAAGCAGTGTAAGTGTTTGCATTACAAACTTGAGGGCAAAGTGAGTTTTTTTTGTGCATCACTTCAGAATGTAAATATGTTACAAAGTACTCAAGCTGATCTGGTTCTGCTAGTGAGCATCCAGCTGGGACACGCATAGCACCACTTCATGTGCACTCAATCAGTGGAGGATGTTTGTTATGAATGCAGACAAAGAATTTGGGCTTTTTGGATCATTAACAAGAGGTTGTCTTGTCTGGCTGTGAAGTGTTCCATTCAAAACCTCACAATTCAATTCCCAAAGATGACAGTTACCAGGTTTACCTGAGAGGCACATTATGACTCTGAAGTTACTCCTTGCTTTATCACTGTGGACAGAGTAGCGTGCATATTTCTGAAACATTTCCTGAGGGTTTTTGTCAGTCTATCCTTTATTATTGTTGGGATTTAAACAACAACAACAACCAAAAAAAAGTGTTGAAAGAGTCCAGAAAATATCTTTTCACCACCATTTAATGTGCTTGGTTCCTAAACAATTGCAATTGATTTTGTTTGGTCTTGCAAACAAATTATCCCATAATCATCTTAGCCTTGCAGCCATGCTTACATTGACTTGTTTGTGTTTTAGAGAGAGAAAATGCAGGCATTGTCATGAAAATAAGAAAGGTTAGAAGCAAATAAAAGGTGGCGGGATTTTTTCACTTTCCTAATTGGCAGGATGTGCGCTCACTTCAATTAATTTTCATTCTTACAGCATATTTAGTACAAAGCAAGGAGTGAGGTAAATTTCAGAATTAAATAAATGACCTTTAGTTTTGCTTTTGCTTGTGGTTTCTACTAAATGGTTATTTCAGGGTTCATCAGTGACAATCTTAGACTGTGTGATTGCTGCTTCTACTCAAAATGAGTACACACAGCAGAATGCTAAAGGGACAGTATTTTTCAACCACAATACATTTCTCTACAAGCAAAGCTTTGTGGTTCAGTGCAATCAAAGTCCTGCAGGATGAAAACGTACAGACAATTACTCACCATTTTTGAAAAACAGCATTTCCTTTGACAACCATCTAGATAAAGGGGGGGTGTGTGTTAGTGGTACTTTTAAGACTTTTTTTTTTTGCTAATACGCTTTACTTTTCAAATGTCCTTATCTCAATTTTTCTGTACTCATTAGCTTTGTAAATGATTTGGATTTCTTCTGACAGAATAGCAAAGGTGGTAAAACCTATCACATAGTGAAAGCCTACCAGCAGACACTGATGTTTTAAATGGGACCTGTATCCAAGCAGCTGTCCAAACCCCAAATTGCCTAAAATAAGTAAAAATTGGTAGGGTTGAATCAATAGGGGATCTTGCTGTGAGCTACAGGTATATAGCACATACCCTTTTATTTGTTTCATACAGTTACAGTTCTCTAAGTAGGCTTTACCAGAAGGCACAATAATAAAAGAAACTCATAATGGTTAATAACCGCAGGCTCCTGAAAAATGATCCTGGTTGTGATGCAGCATTTGCTGCTATGGTGGCATGGGTTATGATGGCACAGCCAGAGAACCATCATGGCACGTGGAGAACAAGCCTGGCTTCGTGCCTGTGCCGTTAGCATGGTGAGAAATACTGCAAAGCCTGCAGGGCAATAAGCAGAGCTATTTCAAAACAGAGTGAGTTTTTCCATGGCTTTTTGTTTTTTTAAAGACAGTGGGATTATCCTGAGCTGCTCCGGATTTACTCCAATATAATATATGCTAGAACATGGCCTGAGCTGCCTCCAGATGCATTCTGCGTGTGATGGGAGCATTCAGAACTTCAGAATAGTGGTTTTGTAAATCAGCGATCAATTTTATTTTAAGTTCTGTTCTGTAAACATCAGACACTGTAGGACTTCAAATCGTATATAAGTTCAAAACCAAGTTGGACTCCATGATCCTTATGGGTCCCTTTCAACACGGGATGTTCTATGGACTGTTTCATTAAGTCTTTCTCTTACATAACGTGTTAGGCTGTTTATGTCAAGGCTGAAGCAGGGACAGCCAGAGCAGATTGCCAGGGCTGTCCAGGCTATTATCCAGGCTACTTAGTTAGCTTCGGGTAGAGCAGTCCAAGTGGAAGTTTATTGATGCTGGAATTTGGTGCCTCTTTAACATAATGCTCTGAAAGGGTGTCAAGTAGTGTTTTCCTTATGGCTAACACAAATGTCCAGTTGCTTCTGTATCTTCTTCTGTAGGAGCAGCTCTTTCAAGACAAGATGAATTGAGCACTGCAGTAGGTAAACGATGCTCCTCGCCACGAGGAAATAATCCCCCAAGCATACATTAATAAAAAATGGATGTACATAAAAAGATTTTGCTCCTTTTTCAAAATACTTATTCCTTCTTAATTTGAAGACATTGGTAATCACTGTAAAGTTTCGTGATTATTTTTAATCTTGATTCATAGGTTAATGAGATCCTGTGGCGATAAATTTCACTAGTTAGTGTGTTAAATAAGAAAGGACATAAAAGATACGTTTCCACAACCTGCTGAATGGTATTTTCTTCGATGAATCCCTGAGTTCTGATGGGGATTTCTATTTTTTTGGAAGATTGTTTCCTTCTTTTTCCCACAATTCTTCTCTTATTTCACTCTCTTGCAAAATGTATAAACAGATGATTTTTTAAAAAATCTTACCGTGTTTCTGATCATTTGTTTCCTACTTTTATGTGATAGGAACAAAACTGTGTGTTTACATTTCCTCTTTTTGGTTTGTTTACGTTATCAGCTCCTTGAACAACATTATCTGTTAATCTTTCTGCAGAGCAACTTGTCCCCTTGCCCATGACGGTGACTTCTAAATGCTACTGCAATGCAAGCAAGAAATAATACTATACTTAAATCAGATAAATAATAATGTTCTCTGCAGCTGGTGTGCTTTCATACCCTCAGTGCAGCTTTGCATTGAGCTGAAGTCTCAAGGCTGTGCCTGGAGTCAGTGAACAAAATGAATAGCACGGTTCTTCCACAGCCAGGATAATTTCCAGTAGGACACCCGTAATTGCTGTGAATGCAAGCAAATTAGTGATGTTAGTGCCACATGCTTGTTAACTTTGATCAGCAGTTACACCTGCCGTGGTGGTATCAGTAGGTAGAAAGAGAAGGAGATCAGAAAGTTTTCATGCCACAGAACCCTTCAGCTGTCATTCCGCTCTGCTGTATGAGAGGGGAAGGGAAGCTAATGATGCAGGAAAAATGACCACCAGCAGCTGCTGGATCCCACTGGCTTCCACAAAGATTTTCAGAAGAGGACAGCTACAGGCTGCCGTTCTCAGCCTTTCCTGCCATAATCGATGAATGAGAAAGTAAATTACCTTTGGTCAGACTCCAAAGGCTTAGAAGAAACAGGTTTCATACTATGGTTGGTACTCAGGAGTGCAGCTGTGGGAGAAAGTTAATGGATGCCTTCACTGGGGTGGAAATTGGTCTTCTGCAAATTTTCCTTAGTAGCATGCCTCTTTCTTATGTTCTAAGGACAGTTCCATAAACTGTCTGCAGTGTGAATGTACTCCTAAGGCCTACACAAAATTTCAGTGTACAGTTAGGTGGAGGCCAGTCTTTTTCTTCTGTTCAACTTAGTGAGAAAACAACCTGGTGCTAATGCCTATGGGGTTTATAGTTGGTTCAGGTCCCTATAGTAGGCATCTAAGCCATGAATCTTCTCACTGGATTGAAATCTCCCCATGAAGAACATAAAAAGGGCAGTGAGGGAGGCAGTTTAAGAAAGCTTTCTGCATTCCAAAACAAATGAAAACCATAGCAAGGATTAATGTTTTTGGTGTTCCAGATTGTGTATGTCAAGTGGAATCAAAGCTGATCAGAAAAAGTCCTATTTGGGGGAGACTTTGTGTTTTGAGTACACTTGAATAAAGATCCAATAAAATACTCAATTAAAATCATTTGGAATTTTTCACTTAACTGAGAGTTAATTAACCGTGCATTGTTTGTGAAGAATTCAGCTGTAATTTATTCACCTATTGTCATTTGAAGAATGAAGCTTACTGAGTGCTGAGAGCTTTCTGTTTACGTTTCAGGTTCCAGCTTTGGGTACTGCATGTTGGAAATCCTGTCCTTTCACGTGAGAGCGTCTTATGAAGAATTCTGATCTTGATTTACAGAGTGAGTTACTTCCTTGCTGAAAAAGCGGACTGATGCGTGGTAGAATTATATGCAAGCACTAAGGTATGTATCTGATTCAGCCTTACAGTTGCTCAGTTTCCTTTCACAGAGCAATGGATGTGGGAAGGGACCTCTGGTTGTCAGTATTTTAACCTCTTCTGTTCAAAGCAATTCATATAGATCAGGCTACTTCAGCTGTGTCCAGCCATCTGTATTTGCGATAGTGGAGGTTCCACAAAATCTGTGAGCAACCATCCCATGATGGCATTTCCTGTGCTTATTGCCCCTGTCACTGTACTTTTGTTTAGCTGGTAAGTCGTCTACTTTCTCAGCAGTGAGTATGGCACCACACATACAACTAAGTAAATGGTTTTGCTAATTGTATTTAGTGCACAAAAATAGAAAGTGCTTTTATGACAATCTGGGACCAAGTTAGAAGAACATTCAGGAATTCATTACTGATAGGACCAGAGGGAATGGCTTCAAGCTACGGCAGGGGAGATTCAGGCTGGACATCAGGAAGTATTACTTTTCAGAAAGGGTGGTCAGGCACTGGAATGGACTGCCCAGGGAGGTGGTGGAGTCACCAACTCTGGAGGTGTTCAAGGAAAGGCTGGATGTTGTGTTGAGGGACATGGTTTAGTGGGAGCTATTGGTGATAGGTGAACGGTTGGACTGGATGAGCTTTTAGGTCTTTTCCAACCTTGGTGATTCTATGATTCTATTATTCTAATTCAGAAATAGTTTTATTGAGCAATGTTTTAAAGTACCAGCCAACTGGCAGTGGTCATGAATTGTTGACAATTAAATGCTTAGCATACAAAGAGTTAAGGATGAGAACTTGAATGTATACTTTTCCATCAATAATTCACAGGACATTAGAGTCTCAATGTCAGAAGTTTTACCTCTGCACAGGATGGCAGTATATTAATGAACTTGCTCCAGCCATTACGCTCTAATTGCTAATTTATTCATAGTTTACTAGCAATGGGGAGAGAGGGGAAAAGAAAAACCCAAGGTCTGAATTCAGTAGCCCTTGAAACAAAGATATATCCTAGCTTTAATTGCAGAACTTGATCTCTGATTCATATATATATTTCACCTATTGTGAAATGAGACCAGATTAAAAGAAGCAAAGTGAATGCAGCAAAGATAAATTGACTTGAAGTAAACCTTATCACCAAATCATTCCTCTGGATGTTAACAAAAGTAAGGTGATTGTGTCCAAGATGATGTAGTGAAACACACTCTAATTTCCCTAAAAACTACCCTGAGTTCATAGCATTTAATCCTGTGATTTGATGGTTATCACTGTCTGGTTCACATGTCTCTGTACAGAAGATTTACTGTCACAAAAATGCCCACCATGAGTTGAAATGCATTAATGGGGCAATGATATGATGCTGGCCCATTATGCTAACTGCTGTATAAGCAGGAAAACAAAGCGTGGTGGTTCCTTGTATGCTGTTATTGGTATGTTCTGGGAAAGTTTTACTAGTTACAAAGCCATGAGTAAAAGACGCGCTTGCTTTTTGTTTGCCTGTTTAAATCAGTTTAACTGTGCTAGCATACCTCTGTCCTCAGAGAGACCAGGTGTTATCTTAGTGGACTGTGACAACTTTTCATAGCACCAGAATCTAGAAGATTCAAGAATCTTTGTGGGTCAGAAACGGCAGAAGCAGATTTGGATTGGATTGAGTGCATCGTGTCGCTCAAGTACCAAAGAGTGGATGACTTTAAAGAACTGAGCTGTATGCACATCCCCTCTCTGTCTGTCTCTGTACTCCTGCACTGACTACTGTGGCCACCCCAAAACTGTTTTCCAGGACACTCTCCTAAAATAATTCAGGAAGGCATTGTCCAATTTCTTAAATGGCACTCATTTTCAGATACATTTCAAAATTCAATATAGATGTCTTAGAAATCATTAAATTGTGCCCCCATAATTACTGTTTTTGCTTGGAAAGTATCTCCAAAGGAGCCGTGTTTTGAAAGGCTTGCTAATTAACTTTATACAGATGTCTGCAGTCATCCTCATTTCAGTGGCATTGTACAAAGCATGTTAAGCAAAATCTGATGCGCAGTCTAGTTTGTGAAATACATACACCCATTTACATCCACAGACTCCTTTTCATCTGTGCACCTACTGTGCTTCAAATGTGAACACATCTGTCTCATTCAAAATGTGCCAGAACACAGAGAATTTGTACACATTTTTAGCCTCTAGAATTTGCAAGCTCATTTTAAGAGAAGCTATTTGAAGATATTTACATGAAATCCAGACAGGCGAATTGGGAGTGTTAGTAACTTCCATTGGGGATAATGTTAAGTAATTTGAACGAGTGTCTGCTGGGGTAGTGGTGTAGTTGGGACAGAAGAGAATAAAGCTTGTGGCATTACAGGAAGACAACAAGATCCCAAATGTCTGTGCAAGATCTTATATGAGCAGGCTTTGTGCAATGATATTCCGTACTTAGAGCATGAACAGAACTTTCCCTTCATTCTCTGCGCTGGGAAACATAAATGTTTTACAGTATCTGAAATGCTTTGTATATCTGGAGGCGTGATGAATCCATGATCCTCCATCCTGTTATCTTCTTGGGTTCAAAATGTGGAATGGGGTTCCCTTCAAGCAGTGGATAGTTCCAGAAGTCTCTGATGGATAAGAGCACTTCTTCACATTGAATCAGCAAAGAGCTGGGAAGAAATTTGCTTAAAGCCACAATTCCCATTAATGTGGACATGACTTGTCCCGATAACAATCTGTTAATGAAGTGCATAGTCAGTTCTGTGTCGAATAATTGTCCAGCTGGAATACTCTCCTATTCGTGTTATTTTAATTAAATTTCTCTCTGCCTCAGTAGTGCTTGGGAATTGCATTGACACAGCCTTTCATAGGAGGCCACTGGTTTCAGTCCAGACTGCCTCAATTCCAGCTAGGGTTCACTAGTGGTATTGTGATGCTGAGTATGGAAATTAGTTGGCCATCCTCCTTCAGAGTCTATGTGACAAATGCATGTGTTGCAAAAGCATCATCACAACTGAAAGTACTGTAAGTGGTTTCGTTGACCTCTTCACCAGCTTTTGGAGATGAAATGGGCTTCTGTGCTCTTATTTTCTGAAATGAAGAACGTTGGTAGACAATATGGAAGTTTATTTTGTGGCTAGCTAATTGTGATGCTGCTGGGTGGAGAAAAATATATATATTGATACCCTCTAATTTAGCGCTTTTTAGATATAAAAAGAGGACAAAAAATAAGCATGTGATATTTCCTTTGTCTCTACTTAGCATTAGGGAAACCACAGAGAGATTACCAAGAAGCCTCTTTCCTTATCTCCAGCTTTCCCAACCCCCTCTGTTCTTGTCTTTGAGTTGTTTCTTGGAATTTGCACTTCTTCAGATTGATAGTGTTGTAAGTTTTCTCCTTGCTACACAAAAGCACTTTACTGTGCTTAAGCAGTTTCCATGTGCTGTGTATAGAAGAGGAATGTAGAATGAAAATTACACCTTTAGAGGGAAACTGATCGTATTTCATATTAAGACTATAGTTGAATGTAATTTATGCAGGGCTAACAAATGCTTAATAGCAATTGCATGCATGGTTTGTAGGTGTTAGAGATGGTTAAAGCATCATTATAAATCATATGTAAGACAGCAGCTGCCAATTATGAGAGTATTAACACATGTAGCAATATTGTATTAACCCTTCATAAACTTCCCAAAGTAGTAGCTCCTATAAAGGAAACTCAATTTTAGACTGAGCTTAGAAATAAAGCGAGCAGAACTAGACAAAGAAGGGAAGATTATTCAGATTGCAATAAGAAGTCTTGGTGAGATGTTTATTCTGCAGTTGATAAATGACTTCATTCAATTACATTAATATATATATATATATATATTTAAGTCATCGGAAAGAAAATCTGCAGATTAATTCAGACTTTGAGGAAGCAGAGTAGACTCTGAGACTGATAATGTAATTGCACGGAAGTTTTGTTTGGAGTGCACAGATGACTCAAAGGCTTTGCACTTGCAATCAGAAGGTCCCACTCTTACTTGCTCCTCTCCACCTTTTCAAGTTTTTCTCTGGAGCACTGTGTTAATCGATCAAGTTCTTGTATTTAAAAAGTTCTTGCCATCCTCTCCAGCCTTCCTCTTCTTCTCCTTTGTTGGAACAAAGAATAAAAAAAAACCCTCTGAAAAGTCCATAGGAGTATGAAAGCAAGCGCTCTGGGACATAAGATGGGTTCTGTTAGAATGGTATGGGTATGTTTAGTAAATCTTGTCTTCATCTAAAAACTGTCCCTGTTTCTGTTCCTGAATGCCAACCTTGAAACATTTTCCCACTTCTGGAACATGAAAATGACCATGCATTAATGCAGCAAACTAATATTGCAAAGCTCAGATGTTTCCATCTTTAATAACATCAGAGATAAAGGCAAGTGACTTCTTAGCCTCCTGATGATTCCAAAGATTAAGCAAATTGTAGGACTTCAAATTTATTAACAATTGCCGGACCTGAATTACTTTTATTCAATTAAGTAACTTGAGGATCGTTTTCGATGGAAATGATGACCTTAAACACAGTCATTGTAGAAAGGAGGAATGAGATGTGGGTAAATGACATATTATTACATGCTTTAGCCTCGTCTTGAATGTAGTAAGTGGCATCTAAGTGGAGAAATGTTTTACTAACAAGGATTATGGGTTTTTAGATATCTTCCAGACAGTTCTTTGATATACATTATATATACATAATATTATATAATATGATTTGATGCTTCCCTGACCAATAAATCAGGCTGGGAGAGGTGAGCGGCTTCTGCAGTAGGTACTCCAGCCTCGATCCAAGTCACCTCTCAAGGATCTGCTCACATTTAAAAACTTCAGGATGTTCTGACACTTTTAGTGGCTTTAAAAGGTTAGATGCCTTCAGGGATTCGGGCCATTACTCTCTTTCATAGTCCCATCTCTTTAGATAGTCAGGGTTCTTTCCAGAAAATATAGACAAGATTGGCAGGTGCCAAATGACGGGGAATGGGAACGGTGAGTGAATATAAATGCTGAAGATTATCCATCTGATAGATAAAGCCTCAGGATTTAGCTAAACAGAAATTTACTTCGGTACTAACAGATGTCCAGATGTCCTTTGGGATGAATTCGTTTACTTAAATCCTATCTGTTTTAATGAAACCCTTTTGAAAAGCTGGAATGAAACTCCAACTTCAGTGCCCACTCATATGTCTGCTAAAGCCCAGCTGCTTGACAAAGGTGGTCCAACAAATGTGCTTCAGAGGGTTACCCGGTCATTGACCAATGCTTTGGTGTTGTCTTTAGTAGTCAAGAGCTTAGCAACTGCATGTTCCTCCCTTCCATTGGCACTGCTGTTTTCTTTACCCACTGAATATCTTATCTGGATAATCCTCAGAGCAGTTTAATTTTGCTCAATTGGCCTGCAGTTATGAGAAACTGTAGGGGAAATCTTAGCGTGCTTAACGGAATGTTGCAATATATTATGAAGAAATAGAGAAATGTGATTAAAAGTTGATTTTCACAGGTGGGATTATTCTTGGCTTCTTAAACCTAAATTATAGTGGTATCGCAATAATAACAGTGGTACTTTTGCTGTCAATCACAGGCAGTTAATGGGGAATATTTTTAAAGAATTTTTTTCTTTCCATTTTTAAAACTTAAAATGTTTCCTGTTGATAGTTTTCAAGAAATATTATGTCTGAAAAATCAAAACCTGGGTAGTTTTAACAGCAGTGTACAACAAACTGCTTAAATAAAAGAGAACTTTGGAGTGTTTGCAAAATTTCGTGCTTGGCACCTGAGGATGTAGGTATTTTCCAACAAATGTAGGAATTATTTTTTCAAAACTGGATTATTTTTTTTTGAAGCTTTTGTGGGAGACCTGAATTTAAAAAACACACAAACAAACAAAAAACTGAACAACTTTTGTAACTCAAATGAAATTTAACCAGAGGTCAGCGACAGGGCAAAACTACACAGTGCTTATCACCAAGATGCACTGATGCTAAGTGCTGTGGTGGGGAGGATGTTTCATCTGGCCAAGGTTTTACAGCATGGTAAAGTCATTATGAAGATTCATTCCACTGAAAGGGAAGGAGTTGAGGATGTCCATCTCAGTTCCTTTTCTTTTCTGAAGACTGTCCCAGTATTAAAGTTTCACATTCTTGTTTCCTGCTATCTGCTACGGGCAGGCTTCTACATACTCTTAGAAAGCATTTTGTTTTCTGTTTTGTACAGTGGACTACATATCCACTTACCATGGATAGTGGTCAAACTGCCATAATTCCAATCATCGTTCGTTTTCAGTCTCTCAAGCATCTCCAGTGTCTTCTGGTTTTATCATCCTGCCTGCAAATTCCAATCTGACATGTGATCCTGTAAATGGTTAGAAGTACAAACAGAGGAACTAGCATTTGGGTAGAAAAGCATGACTTCCTTTGAGGAGGAGTTCTGTTCTAGTTAATGTTAGATTATGACATTTCTGCACTGTTGGGCTGTCTGTTTATTTTTGGTTTGGGTTTCCTAAGGCTATTGACTGCTTCAAAAGCAATTAACGCTGAGGTTAGACATTTGTCATTAATCAGATAAATTTATAAATAAAAATACTTATTGGATGCCTGAGAAAAAAAAATTTATTAAATAAGACCTTAATTAGATGAAGAGGAAGTGCATGTTGCTGAATATGATATGTCTGTGAGAATGATGGTTTGAAAAAAGCCTTGAGGGCATCTAAAATGTGGATTAATGTAGGATCCAGTTTGGCTCTTAAGCACTTGGTCAGCAAAAATTTGGGGAATGTTCTTGTCATGAATTTTATATAGAAAGCCAGACTGGATGACTGTAATTGTTCTTTTTGTGCCTGAAATCTCTAAATCTGCCTGAGAAGTCTAAATGATTTTGTAAAGCCTTGCAAATGCAACTTGAATGTAACCGAGTGGTTGAGTAGATCAAGGGGAAATAAAATGTACTGTTTGCTGCCTGAGCTGTGTAAACTTGGATCTGGCAGTACATGGACAGGCCAAAACACCTCTTGGGTTTGTTTATTCTTCTTGTGTCTTTCTATTGTGCAGGAGCAATGTAAACCTTGCAGGTCTCTGTACACAGAAAAAAAGAAATTGCCCAAAGAGCATTAGCTCCCTTCCTTTTTAGAGTCATTCTACAACTCATATTACTAGGAAAACTTATTTAGGGCTGTAAATTCCCATAAACTGGACAGCTAGTTTTCTAGGAAAGCGTAGCTGGGAGCTGCTCTTCCTTATAGGCAGGTGCTGAGGGCTGCTGGTGCATTTGGGAGTGTTGGTGTAGCATGTGAAGATAATTGATTATTAATTATTAAGCATTTGTGCATGGAAACAAAATGGAAAGCTGAACGTAAAGCTCAAAGCCAACATTCTAAGCATACCTGACAAACATGTATATAAAATTACAGCTGTTAGTATTGATCAAAATCATAACTAGACAAATGGAGGTTCATTATCATGGAAGAGATACTATAGATCCCATAGCACACAAACTTATCAGTATGGATAATTTATCTAGGTGAGTCGTGGTCAGGTGGCAGAAAACCGTGCCAGCTGGATGAGGATCAACCAAGCACTTAGAACATTTCAGGTTTCTCTTAGCTGTGTGTATCTCATTCCACTCACCACTCTAAAGAAATGGAATGAAACCACAAACACAAAATTCATCTTCCTTTATTCTGTGAGCTTTTTGAGTTTTTATTTTTTATTTTGTACCCATTACTTATTTAGATTGACTGCAAATTTTCTGTTTTTTTTTTTCCTTCTTTGGCCTCTTTTTTTGTTGGCACAGAAAACAATATAATATTTCTTTTATTAAAGAAAGAAGCAACCAAACAAAACCTACCAACCAGACAGAAAAAAAAAACAACCAACCTTGCTCAGTTAGAAATGAAAGATTTCTGTCTTAGAATGCATGATATTTTCAGTTATGGCATCAGAAGATCTTCATGAAAGTAAAATTCATTAGAACTTTTTGTAGGAATGGGGTTTTTTGGAGTCTCAGTGAGTGTGTAGCAGCAGGACAGCTTATGGCAATGCTGCTTCAGCTCATGTAAGATCAAAGGATCCAGGAATCCGGGAAAAGGCATCCCCTGCAAATCTGTATGGTGTCTGTAGACATCACTCTGCTCGGTTCATTCTGAAATCTGGCAGAGTTTCAAATGGACTCTTCCTGGAGAACCATCAACATAAGGTTATAATAGCTGCACACTTCAGCTTTTACCTTTATTAGGAAATTGTATCATGAATAAATATGAATGCTGGCTAAAATGGTACTGGCTATAATGCAGACGTAGCTAATACAGACATGGAAGAAGTACTTTCAACATCATTTATGATAATTAAGCACTGAATCTTGTTTGAGGAAGGTGTGAGTATTGCTCGCCAATTCAGAGTAAAAATAGTGATTAATTATATTTTCCTTATGCAAATCTGTCTCTGGCCAGCACGGGTTGCTGTCTGGATAGAGGTATAGGAGAGGGGGAAGTTGGCTTCTCGGCATGTTTTTATGCATTTATTTGTTTTTAAAAGGAGATGAAGCGGCCTGGAGTTTTACACAGTTTTCATTTTTTGTCATATTGGTGTGGAGCAACTGCTGGATGTAGGCAGAAACCTCAAGTGGAATGAGCTGTTAAATCATAAGGGGGCAATAGTTAAAAAACACTTAAGAAAACAGGAATAACATAGGATCACTCAATGAAAATCAACAGCAAACACTGAGCATATTTATCATCTAAATAAAAGATTTGAGCTGGGAATTGCTTTTAAAATACCTGATGTCTGCGTAGCACAGGGAGAGGGGAGCAGCTGGGCAGACAGCACAGTTAAATAAGCTTTAGGAACCGATGGATCCATTCTATGGTAAATGACAGTTTTCTTTTTCTTTTCTTTTCTTTTTTTTTTTTTTTTTTTTTTTTTT